GAACTGCTGGGATGATAGGCCTGGGCCACCACACCACACCTGGCTCTTATCTTCCCATTTCTGAATAGTCTTGCTTAATGAAGACCATTCAAGTTAATTATCTCAACATCAATTCAGTATACACCCACCTCAATGTAAGCTCTTGAAGTCAAATTTTATATGTAGTTTTAATTTTATCAGAGAAATGTCTTAAAGAATGTTAACACTTAAAATACTATAATCCAGGAGAAGTGACCTGTCACTTTTGTTAGATTCTTTATCCAAATAATTAGGATTATTATTCTTTTGATTTGGCTGTGTGTGTGGGTGTGTGTGTGTGTTTTAACCACAAACTTAAAAGAAGAAATGTACTAAAACAAAATAAGAAATGTAGAAGCTGAGCATGTCTTTTTATCTTCTCTCAGAAAATAAAGCAGTAGCCTATAAGTTTTTACATTTTATTTTCATTTAATTAATTAATTTCCCTGAAGTACTGGGGGATTGAACTTAGGGCCTTGAGTATGCTAGACAAGTGTTCTATCACTGAACTACATCCCCATCCCCTGAGAAATGGAGTGTAAATACTCACATATTATCACAATTACACAGATATGAGAATGCCAAATGATTTTGGTAATTAACTATCCTGGAAATTATGTTCTGAGTTCTATAAGGAGATGTCATATAACACATAACATTTAAAGCTCAGTGGAGCTATGGCTTTATATTATTTTTATACTATGATATTTGCCTCATTTAGAAGGGTTATTGTATTTTGGTTCTGAGATTTTCTTTACCTGATTCACAAGCTACTAAAGAAACCTACAATTGATTTGTGGATGCTGGCAGATGACATAAGATCCCTGGGTTAGAAATAAAGGGCTCTGTTATTTATATAGCAAGTTTCATGCACATTAGCCATTGGTACAGTTTCCCCTATGTATGGAGCTGGGATAAGCATTCAGGTCAATGCTGCAGATGGGCCGGTCTGCATTGCAACTGAGGAACACATAGCTTAGGGAATCTACAGATTTTGTAGCAAGCACTAAACAACCTTTTTCCATATCCCATAGGGAAAGATATCCTTATCCCTCAAAATTGCTTGTGCCAAACAAATTTGAGAAGCGGTCGGGATAAAGTGCTGTCAAGTCTTACATTTCTTTGTTTATCAGGCAAAAACATAGAGAAACACTTGAACCCAGGGCAACTTACTTTTCTCAATATTATAGAGTGAAAACACAAAAAAAATCTGAAAAAATAAAAAAGATATGAGATTTTACATTGTTTATCAAGGAAGATCCAAGATTAATTGTGTAAGTGAACTCCTTTTCATATCATCTGTTAAATGAGGAAAACTTAGAAATAATTTAGTAGAATCCATAGAAATCTTTTGGAGCTAGGGATATGGCTCAAGTAGTAGTATGCTCGCCTGGCATGCATGGGGCCCAGGTTCGATCCTCAGCACCACATACAAACAAAGATGTTGTGTCTGCCGAGAACTGAAAAATAAATATTAAATTCCCCCCCCCTCTCTCTCTCCCTCTCTCCTCTTTCCTCTCTCCTCTCTTAAAAAAAAAAGAAAGAAATCTCTTGATTTTCTAACTTAACATTAACTGGGAGTCAGTGAGGATCATGGATGATTTGAGGTCTTTGAAATTATGAGCCTTCCAGACCAAGGCTAGAAAATAGAGCTTTCTGTGATGGTGAAACTATAACTATGCTGACCTACACAGTCATTCCTAGACACACCTAGTTTTTTAACAAGTGAAATGTGGCCAGTGTAACTGAGGGACTAAATTTTTTATTTTATTTAAATCTAATTGATTTGAATTGCAACAGTTTCATGTGGCTAGTGTCTACCGTCTTGCACAATGTAAAACACTGTCCATTTGCTTGCTTATGTAGTCATTTTTTTTTTTCATTCAAACAAATGACACCCTGTTGTGAAAGCAGACACCTGTCTAATTGGCATGACACTGGCCTGGGAAGCCAGCCCTACATCAAATATTTTTTTCTACCTCTTCAGGTGCTAATATTTCAAATTCCATAATTAAAGAACCATTTCTTTTGTACCAAGTCTTTCCTTCTGCTAAAATGCATATACTTCTTAGAGTACTATCAGAAAGCATAATCAGGTATTTATGCAAAAGTGAATTTATTCAAGAACAGGCTTTGATGGAAAAGAAGAGAGAATTGGAAGGAATCCAGGTAGAGTACCATAGAGAGAGGGGGGCAGAGTGACCCACAGACATTCTTGATTAGAGCTAATTAGCTAACAGGTGCAGAAATGAAGGGTTTTGACAATGTCAACTTGTCAAGGCGATAGGAAAATAGAATTCAGGTCACTGCCTAAGTGTTGAGTTCTACTTAAAATGTGTTCTACTGAGAAACATTTACTAACAGTGTTTTGTTAAAATCCAGGAGTGTTTCACCCTTGGGTTTCTTCCTGGGTTGTTGAATGAGTGATTGCCTGGTAGACTCAGAGTAGAAAAAGTGATTACTTCCTTTCAGATATTTTTTTAAAAAAGTATATCTGGTGATCATTATTGATTTAAATAATTTATTGAGGAATTAGAAGAGCTCTATTCTGTTCCATCACCTTCAAATTAAATGATTATATAATGTTAATATTCACCATTCATCAGAAAAAAAGGTCCCCTAAAACTATATGATTCTTGTCCAAAATACCATGATTTATTATAAAATCTTTTTGTATTATATTGTGTCAAAGAGAGAAATATTTTTACACATGACAAAATGACAGACTTTCTTCAGGACTAAAGGAACTCTGGACTGGGGTTTTGTAGTGAAGAGATTGGGCTCAGCTTAAAATGAAAGAAAAAATGTAGACTGACAGCCAGCCAGGTGGGGGTGTTCATTGGTGGGTGGAAAATTACCAAGAGGTTAGGAGAATTCTTACTAAATTGACCAATTGGGATTCTGGATGAAGACCCGCTGGGCTACTCAATCACCTGGAGGACTGTCAAGGACGTCAAGGAGAGTGGAGGGTTCTGGCTAAATTCCACAACTCAGGAACAAAAAAGATGGGGCTAGTGGAGCAGATGGCTTAGAGAAGCCTGATTAAAGTTTGACTAAGGGTAGAATCTCAGTGGTGTCAAAGTTCTTTCTTAGAAAAAAAAATATATATATAATTATACAAAGGTTCTTGAAATAGAAGAAAGAATACATAAATGTAAGGGAAATGGTAGTTCTAGTCAGGAGATAAGCATGAGTAAAACCAAAGAGGGTTAAAGAGGGAAAACTAAGAGGAAACAGTACAGTCCAAGGCTCACTCTCTGGCCTGTGGGTAACACGGGGAGGGACCCAGGAAGGGGGCCTGACCACTAGTAAGGGCCCATGCCCAAGGGCTCATCTTACTGACTGCAAGTGAGAGAAGAGTTGGATGAATGTATTGGGGAAAAGAGTATCTGTTTTCATGTAATGGTGCAAGAGAATGATTCTGATTGTGGGTGCTAGGAACGTGGAACTCTCAAACTCAGGAAAGAGAAAAGGAGAAAGAAGAAGGAAACTATGTAACCCCAGTGGCTCAGGAGGCTGAGGCAGCCTCAGTGACTTAGGGAGGCCATAAGCAACTTAATGAGACCCTGTCCCTAAATAAAAAATAAAGAAAGAAAAAGGACTGGGGATGTGGCCCAGTGGTTAAGCCTGGCTTGAATCTCTGAATAATAATAATAATAATAATAATAATACACCACTAAATCAACAAAATTTTAAAAAACACCGTGTAAGATAAAATGAATCAAATCAGATAATAGGAGTTGTTACTCTAAATGTGAATAGCCTCAATTCTGTCATATTCAGGTCAATAAATATCTAGTTAAACACTCTTACAATAAGGAAACCACTAAGAAGTCCCAGCTAATGAATTTCAGAAGTGCAGTGTTGCCAGCAGACAAGATGGGCATGAGGTTAGAACAAGTGAATGAGCTCAAAGGTGGGGGAGGGCATTACCTGGGGATAAAAGGTACAGTTTGTTAAGAGGACATAAAAGCCATGAATCCAATATACATCATGAAAGATAACAGTTGAATAGAAGGCGTAAAATTGAACTTCCAGAGCTCTGTCGTCTCCAAGAATCAGTTTACTATAATTCCTCCCTTGGCTGTGGCCTCCCTGACAAATGTGTTTTAATGATCAGTTTTTAAAAACCCAGTTCAGATCGTCGCCTTGAAGCCCCCACAGAGTGGCTGTCCCT